ATTAACACTGGAAAAGATCCAGGGCAGCAGAAACCCAGCTGATATGTTAACCAAGACGGTAACTACGAAAAAACTGGAGTTGTATTTAACTTCAGTTGGCCTTCTAAAATGAAGATGAGGAAGGTAATGTACACCAATTTTACTAAAAAGGAACTGCTCACAGGATGTCTCAAGGTGAAGCCACATTAGTCTCCAAGTGGGAGATTGTTAAAAATATGGAGCCTAAGTTATAGGCTTCACAAATTTCTCATGTGTCAGGCAAAAATTTCCAAATAGTGGCAGACACATATGGCAGCAAATGTTGAAGACTTTGCATGCATGGTAAGCAATTGTTGACAAAGCAATGTGGATGGAAAAGGTTTCAAACCATGCAGCTGCCACCGAAATTTTTTTGGAAGAAATTCTTTGCCATGCAAACCAACTTTGTGAAAAATGTTGGATTCGCATTAATGAGGGAGGTGAAAAATTTCCTATAAATTGGAGGCCAAAACAAAGGAAGAAATGTGCCAAAGTGAGAGCAAAAACAAGTGCAAAAGTGTTGAGTGAAAATACGAGAGATAGTGAGCAAGCACAAAGTGAGAAGCAGTTAGGCTTTCGTTTGTGCAGAAAATTAACGAGAGAAAAATAGAGAGATTGTCTTTGCGTAGGCAAATAAAATACAGAGAGTGTATTTGTTGTACTCCTTTTATTCTCTTGTTGATATAGTAAAAGAATTGGTGTGGGTTTGTGGACGTAGGCACAATTGCCGAACCACGTAAATTCTTGTGTCACTTGCACTTATTATTTTTGCTACATTTATTTCTTCTCAGTTTAAATTATTCTGCGTCCCACTGATCCTGGCGGAATTAGTAGCGGTCTAATTTCCCAACATTGTGTTCCCTCCACAGGTCATCAATAAAGTGCTGAATTTTACAGAGCTAATCCTCTTTGCATTTGCTGAGTTTTGTGGAATAATTTTTGGGATTAGAAAATGTGAAGAATGTAAAATATATTTCCTCATAATGAGAAGATGGTTGAACACAATATCACGGTGATTTTTGAATGCATGGGATTTATCTCAGATAACTTCGAAACCGCAGTATATTAGTTTTCCTTCGTCCTTTCTTTCGGGGTGGGGATTTGGTTAAAATCGAAATTCTTTTTACACCTGTTCATAGAAATTGAGCACTAAAAATTTACTTTTACTTTTTCCTGGATAGTTCCTTTATATTTTTGGCCAGGGAGAATGTCCCTATTGACTATTTGTGTTGTTTGACTTACGGTTCCCAGGCATCTGGTTTTGATTTTATTTTCTAGTATGAGTTTCCTGCAGAACTTTACACAGAAATGATGTTTGAGCTGCTGGTTTCTGCTTATTCTACAATTAGCACACAAGATACAGCTCTTTTCCTTGGACTGAATGCCGATGATGCTGCAAACTGTAACCTCTTACCCTTTTTTCTTATGGCTTATAACACTAAATTGCATTTAAAGCATGATACTTGTTTTAATGCTGCAAGTTGAATTCTTCCTATCGAGTTAGAAAACTTTGTAAATACTAAATCGTGAATGCCTTATTATTTCGTTTTTGGATTGGTGGGTCTCGGTGGGATGGAAGAATTAGATAAAGTAATTTTATAACGTTGATTGACGATGAGATAGAATTCTAGTGTCGTCATTGACACTCTCCTCGTATATAATTATCATTTTCCCTCTCTGTAGAAAAGTAATTTTTAATTCTTCTAGTTTGCCGTCCTCAACTCCTAGCAACTTTTAGCTGTTGAAAAATTGCATGGCAATCAGCTGCTTTTACATGAAATTGGTGGGATGGATACTTAATTCTACTGCTAACTCGTGGTAACCCTTGTCGGTTGCTTGCAGATGCACTAGAACGTGGTTGGACGTTGGATCATGCCTCTCAAATGCTAACTGTGAAGAAGCAGGCTGTTGCAACAGAGCAGAAGCTAGATTTGAGTAAATTACAGCACTTGACAGAAATATGTTTTCCACCTTGAGCATTAATCCTTTATACTCAGATGTTTATATATTAGGTACAGTAAGCTCTCTGATGATGTTAAAGAATGTCAAGTTTTTGTTCCAAAATCTTGAGTTGTTGATCAGTCTTAACTGTTATCATTAATCAAGCAACATTCACTTGCTTGGATTCAAGGCATTGAATAACTCGAGATGGAGACTCAGGGCTGATCGGTGGTAATTATGAGAATTGATTTTTTGACCGTTAGAGAAAAAAGTGGGTCTACCTGTAAGTGAAGAAGTAAAAAATCACGGTTGGAATAGTGAAATAACGGTAAAAAAAAATTGATTATTTAGGATGAAAAATTGCTGCCAAATGGGGCTCAATGTGATTAGTAGATTACATTTTCACTTCAAATGTATTATCATTCAGTTAGTTCGAATGCCTGTCGAGGGTGTTGCAAGCCAAAAAAAAAAAGGCTGGATGGTCCAATATAAATAGAAAACAACTAGGGATATCGACTAGGGCACCAAGTTCTTGCAACAATGTAATACGTGATCTAACAACAGCTTTTTGGTCTTGTTTGAAACAGCCATTATAGCTTGTTTAGTGATGTTTGTACAATCATACAGCCCTCGTGGATTCCACCCCTATATGTGAGAAGGCTATCAATCATGTTGTCAAATGTGCTGTGTGGCACTTTTCTTATATCTCAGCGTCACTGGACTACGGCTGTCAAGCACATTACCATGAAGTGTCACGATGCAAATGTGATTTGATAAACTAGAATCTATAGTCTAGCATTGTAGCAGTGTTGTCTTATTGCAATTGCGTACCAAATTTGAAATGGCTGCTACACAAGTTGAAGAGAGGGAAATTATATTTTGTTAGAAAAAAAGTATATAAAAATATACTATATTCATTTAGAGTTCCTTATAATTTTCTTATAATGAAAAGGGATCTTAGGAAAATTTGTAAATAATAAATTAGTAATTGTAAATGTGGCTAAAATTGAAGTTTAACTATAAATTATATGTGACTTTTGAGAGAAATTCAAACATGGCTAATTTCATAATAAGAGGTAGGCAGCCATCCCAAATTTAATCTTAATTTGAAAGCTGTACTTGATGGAGGTGGAATAGGTAAAACAATTATGTTATTATCTACATTAAGCATAATATCTACATTAAGTTAGACAATTTTTTTGACATCATATAAGTTGGAAAATTTTTATATATTGATTTTAACAACGTATTCTTTAAACAGTGGTTAGGCCCCGTTTGATTCCCTTTCTTATAAGAATAAAAATGAAAAATATAGTCGTTACGGGACCCACAAAAGAGAGAAAGTCAAACATGATAGCTAAATGTGATAATTAACGATCATATTTTTTATTTTTTTGACCAAAGAATGGAAAAAAATGGGGTATAAAATTTCCACGCATATGCAAGCAGTCAAAATTGTTGCCATCCAAGCATGTACAACATGCATAATTAACCATGGACTTAAAGTCTTCTTTGGATAATTTTAAAAATTGTTAAAAAGTAGAGATCAAACTTAATAATTAACCATATATTTTCCCAACTTTTATCAAAATATTTTGAAATTTATATCAAGATACAACCTCTCGCTCTAACCCATCTTGCATTGCATGCAAGATTAATCATTCTCAAGTTCAAGATGCTAACCATTTTTTTTAATTAAAGTAGTAGATTCTGCAAATGGATAAGAAAAGTAACACGTATTTTCGATATTAGTTCTTCAAGTGAACTAATTGAAAACGAATCAGTTAGAGTAAATTACAGCTTCTGTCTTGACAATTGCCATTCTTAGTATCAAAACAAAGAGAGACACCATTGATCTTGACGGAGCTAGCTTTGTGTTATCTAAACATAAAATATCAATAAAAAGAAATTATTCTCTCTTAAATATCTTAAAATTTCCCTGCTAAAATTTATATGCAGAAAGAGGAACGAAGAAAAAACATAGAGCTTGTTTGGCTAACTTCATATGTATTTTTTTTTATTTTTTTTTCCAGTTTGTTCATCTTCTGTACATTTTCTTACAGAACTCTCATCCTAAAACAAAAGCCATAAAAGAAAAAAGGGAAAGAAAAGAAGGGGAAATTTTCTCTTGGTCTTCAAAAGGGAAAACCTTCAATTCCTGAATTTCTTCTTGATGATCACGGGCTTCTTCGTAACATTGTATAGATCAACAATGGATCTATATCTCTTCTTTCTTTTGGGGTTCCCCTTCAGTTCTCTGATAAAGATGGAGGAAATTTCATTAGAATCCCCTACGCTTTCCTCTCGGTGTTGCTCCACCGATTTGGTGGCGTCGCCGTGGTTTTCTTTGCTGTAGTCGGAATCGCCGCTGAGTTGAATCAGCTGCAAGGCCGCATCCAATTCCGTGTTGGAGATCATTTGGGTATTCCTGCTCTTTCTTGCAAATGGAGATTTCTTCTTCATTGAATTTTCACCTCTCCATATGGAAAGAGAAACTTGTGGAATAATTAAAAATAATTGAAGTACAAGGATTTTTCCTGAATGGGACACGAAAAGGACTTTTTTTTATACAGGTTTCATATTTTTTTTATTTGGCACGACAAAAATATCTGGAATGAATTTCTTGGCAGTAGATTTTTCTGAGGGCAAAATAGGAATTGCAATTCCCTTCACAACCAGAATGGTACTCGACGGGACTTCTTGCATGGCAGGGTATACAAGATCGATCATTCTGAACCGTTGGATCTAACATTGTGAAAGTACGACCAAAGAATAAGACTATTATTGCGGAAATTAGCCTCTATTTAGAATAAATCAAATTAAAGTCAATAATTAATTTTAATTTAAAAATTTTTATGAATTCATCCCTTTTTAATCATACATTTCATCAAATTTTATCAAAACTTACGAAAATTTTAATTTTAATCTACATCAAATAGGGGACTAAGGCCCCGTTTGATACCCATTAATGTAAAAATGAGAATGAAAAATATAGCCATTACGGACCCCACACAAAAGATGGAAAGTCAAATATGGTGATTTGATGTGATGAATAACGATCATATTTTTCATTTTAATGCGCAAATAATGAGAAATAAACGGGGCTTTGTGTGAAAACGGCTTTAATTTCTATGAATCAAAGTGAAGTCTTCTTTGGTTGCATGCAGAATTATTACCCATTAGCCATTTTGTGCGATTGGCAGTTCTATTTTTCAAAAAGCAATGCTATAAATAGTCAATTGTGCTACATATACATAATAATTTACATAATAGTTCACATACACATAATGTGATGAGATACGATTGAATCGAAATTTTTTCAATCAAATAAAATAAAATTATAAACTCTCTTTTTGACATCTTCTCTATATGTAAATTGTTGTGCAACTCGATTATATACAAGTAGCATTAAAGCCTTTTTTTTATTGATATGATAGTTTTTTATTGTCTCGTGCATTAAATAATAAATTGTCATATGTATGTCATGTAAAACGATTGTTGATAATCTGAATAGCATTGTTCTTTTTCAAATTAAATTGTTTTAACATTTCTTATCCTTTTCAATTAGAAAATTTCAGGAATATGAGATTTTGAATAAAACTAATTTTAAAATTGAACCGAATAAAGTGAAAAAGGAAATTTGGGAATATGGTGTCAAAAAACATGTGATAATTTGTTATTTAATGCACGAGGCAATAAAAAATTATCATATTAATGTATTAAATATAAATTGTCACGTGTATGCCACGTAAGACGATTATCGATATTCTGAGTATTATTATTCATTTTCAAATTAAATTGTTTTAACCTTTCTTATCCTTTTTCAATTAGAAAATTTCAAGAATATGAGATTTTGAATAAAACTAAATTTAAAATTGAACAGAAAAGAGTGAAAGAAGCTTAGGAGTATGTTGTCAACAAACATGAATTGCATGTTTTAATACATGGATGGCATTTTACACCTGTCTAAATAATTTTAGGCATGCCAAGTTCGTGCTAGTCCATCCACTTCGAACCTTGGTGGTATTCCCACGTCAAATTTTACGGTTGTATGAGTTTGTCAATTGATTAGCGAATTTGCCTATAGATGGCACGGCAAATTCATTAACAACTAAGCCCTTATTTGAGTTCCATTTTTCATCAAAATACGGTTTTCAGTAGTAATTTGACACCATTTTAACCACACATATTTCAATAAAAAATAATATTACATGCAAATTTAAAATTTTTCCTTATTTCAAAATACATTTTTTGAGAAAAATTGAGCTCAAATAACCCTTAAGAATATGATCTATATTATCAAAAAGTGGCCCTCCGAGGCATAGATCAGTGATACAAAGAATAGAAGTGAGGTTATCTCACGCCTTGTTGGTAACCGCAGTGTGGGGGTTCGATTCCTGAGATATGGATTTGGACTCCTTGTAGGCGCAGTATATAAACAACTCTTGTTTTCTGATCTATTGGAGCACATCCTACGATTCACCTCCCTCACAAAATTCTAGAGGCGAGGCGATGGGGTCCCTCAAGGTTGGAGTTCAACCTTTATATTATCAAAAAGTGCACTAAAAATGTCATCAAATGTAGGTATAATGTAGCATTCTACCGTTGAGGGGAAGGGAGCTCAAGCTTGACCCAAGCCCATTAGGTGTTTTTAAGTTAAAAAGAATTTAGAGTTTTTCCTTTTTATGTACCATTCGAGTATATATTTTTTTTGTTCCTCCAGGTTCCGCCCCTGATCCTACCCAAAGTATAGTGCGAGTGCCCTTTTGTTTGGACATGCCGACCAGTGTGAGGGGAAGTTGCCCCAAGTGGAGTGCCTCTTGTCCGTTGTTGTGATATCAAATTCAGTTATCTATAGTTTAATATGTGATTTTAACCATGTTTGAATTGGTTGCTAAGAGTTGAACTCTATATTATACACGTCATGTTACGGGATCTATTTTGAAGGATTTTTGAAAAGTCAAAAATTATTCTTGAGACTAAAAAGTTGAATCGTTATACTGAATCAGAAAAACTTTAAAAGAAAACTAACATAAAATAGTTTCATCATGAAATTCTTTTATAAGAAGCACAAATTTTATTAAACAACCTTTTAAGACATTAAGTAGGAATTAGTAATAAAACTACTCTCTCTCTTATATTACAAGACAGCTGAGAAACATCCTCGTATCCTCTGTGTAAATAAACTA